CTGACTCCGCCCCTGCTCCCCGCGATGGCTGGTTCCGCCCCTGCCCAGGCCTAACGTCTTTGGCCAAGGCTTTAGGCCTGGGCAAGGGATCCCTAGCTCCCCGGACTGCCCAGCTCCCATTGCTGGCTCCACCCCTGCTTCCCGCTATCACTGGCCGGGGCGGCAAAGGTGCCTGGTTCTCTGATCACAGCTGAGAACCTTTGCCCTGCCCCCGGCTCTTAGCTCCCCCCTGGGTTTCCGATCACCGTCAGTGGCAGGGGGCTTCTTCCGTCCTTTCCCTTTCGCCTCCCAGCATTGTGCCTACATATGCAAATTAGCCGCCATCTTTGTTGGCGGTTAACCGCCATCTTGGCTGGCAGTTAATTTGCATATCGCCCTGATTAGCCAATGGGAAGGGTATCGGTTGTACGCTAATTACCATGTTTCTCTTTTATTAGATAGGATAAGTTAACTGTGTACATGTGTGTTGGCTGAGTTAAAGGGGGAAGTTTATAGACCCCTTGAATACTGATGAAAGTTATAGGTACTCTCCTTAGAAATATGTCGTAAGCAGGATACTGTGAAAACTTCCTTAGGATTCAGAGTTGACTTCCCTGCCTCTTCTGCCCCCATTTAGGAACTGCTGCCCTAGATGCTCTCTGGCACTGGTCTTATTCTAATACACTTATAAGTCTATTAATTTGGCGTGTCTCCTAGCTCATAATGGTTCTTACTTCTCTGAAACCTGTCCCCAGTTCATGGTGTGGGCTTCCAGAAGCCATGACCACCTGACTCTGCCTTTGTCACCATTTGAATGGACCAAGAAGGGACTGCTGACCTGAGTTGGGCCAATCAGATTCTCTTCAGAGATCTTTAGAATTGGGTTTAGAAAAGCAAGTTAGCCACTTAGAGTGGGTGAAACTAGCAGGTGCCCCCAGCAGCAGTGAGGCAGCCACTTTGTCCTCTAAAGATGGGAGAAAAAGAGAATGCTGTCTGCAGAAAGAAGTAGAGATGAGAACTGGAGAGAGTCCTGGGTAGTTTCAGTTTCTATTTTCATTCTTCCTGAAGCCCAGCAGCTCTGTGGGGGAGAAAAGTGTGTGTCGCTGTGATAGAGACCTATTCTCTTTGCTGGCTAGAGTTAGTGTCTGTAACTTGCACCCAAAGATCCTTAAAAAATACAAAAGATATGTCCTTATGTAGTTGATCTTTTACATATTTTGTGTCCTCATTGGGGGAATACTGACCTTTTTAAAGTCTCAAGATGGATGATATACTACATATAAATTATTTTAGAGCAATTGTATCATGTTCAGAATTTTCTAGAAATAACTTTTATTCAGCTTTGTAATTTAAATAGCAGATCCCCTGAGCCTATGGGCCCTGACTCAGTGATTTATGAAAGGCCCTGCACTGCCTAAACACCAGACATGAAGGCACTAGCATATGTACACTCTTAATGCTGTTAGTGGCGTACAGAATGAAACAAGAAAAGTGTGCAAAAGTCCATGTGGGTGAATGGGAAAAGAAAACTACAAGGGATACAACCAAAGCTTTAACACTTACCTCTGATGAGCTGAAGATATGGTTCTCTAAAGGGTTATTGGTATGGAGACCACAGAAGGTAGCCTGAAAGGTGTACCTTGTGAGAGATACTATCAGATGAAAGGGGGTCCCTGAGTACAATGAAGTGACAAATATAAACCTCACCCATAGAGAAATTAGTCAAAATAATTTTCCCCTTCACACTGTAGCACATACCTGTCATTGTTTTATTTTAATAACAGGGTGTGACATAGATGTGTTTTTATGAATATATACATATATCATATATCTTTATGTAGTTGATCTTTTACATATTATGTGTCCCCATTGGGGTAATATATTTGGCATACACTCTTACACTCTTTAAAGACCTTTTTTTTTTTTTTGCTGTTAATCTTCACCTGAGGATATCTTTTCCATTGATTTTTAGAGAGTGGAAGGAAGGAAGGGGAGAGAGAGAGGGAGAGAGAAACATTGATGTGTGAGAGACATATTGATTAGTTGCCTCCCACACGCACTACCCTGAGCAGGGCTGGGGGTGGAACCTGCAACCCTTCAGGGGGTGGGACAGCACTCTAACCACTGAATATCACTGGCTGGGGAATGTTTATATTTAAATAATAATAAATTAATACATTCTTACTGAAATTTTG